CACTTTGAATTCACACCTTTGTGAATAACCCTGTTTAAGATAAGAACATTATAGACCAAAATAACATCAATGATAAAAAAAAAAATAGATTTTTCAATTTGGCTATTTTGGCGGGGTGGCGGATAGTAAAATCTGTGTAGTAAAATCTGCGTATTACATTAGGCAGATTTTACTACACAGAGGATGTCCTACTTCTTGTCAATACAGTTTCATAGGTCCCCACAGAGTTATTCAAAAAAATTTAAACTATCCAGAATTCAAAGCGGAATTTAAGGTGAATGAAAACTTTTATGCCTAAATAATATATTTACAGATTGGCTTATTTTGGTCTAAAACATAAAATGCAGTTTGAATTCACTTTGATGCCTGATCGTTGATAAATCGATGAACAACCCCCGTAGCGTAGAAAAAAAATCCAACTGTACTAAGGGGTCTATTCACTAAACAGTTGGCTAAACTTTGGCAACCAGCTTGAACATTTTAGACCAAAACTGCCAAGCTGAAGAAATTTAGCTGATAATATGTTCAATAAATTTTGGAAACTCATGGCAACTATCTGTGTAATAATTTTATATTTTGTGCTAACCATACACTTTGGGAAATAAACCATGGAGAATTTTCAAATGTTCTTTTGAGATACTGTGTGGGTGGCTCTGGGTGGCACTACAAATGAGATAATAAACACAAACAGGTGAATTTACTGAAACGAGGATTCAAAGTGTATTTCAAATTTAAGCTAAAACATATCTGGACCTTAGAAATTCTTTAAGTCAGCTACACTTTTACTTTGGTTACTCTGGCCTTACATTTGAAATTTACTTTGAATTGTAAAATAGCCTGAATGAATTGTAACTCCTTTTCAATTTTCATATTGGTCACATATATACATCTCTCTCATGCTCTCCTTTCTCTCCTTACTATTTGAGATGTTCTCTGGTGTGGAGCTCTTTCTGCCGTTAGATGGCGCTAAAGTCCTTGCAACCAATTTGCCAGATTGCCAACTATGACCCATTCAGAAGCATCAAGGGTATGTGAACTCTTACTGTGTGAATTGATCACAAAGAAACGTGAGATCTGATTATCAAAAAGAAATTAAAGGATCACTGGCACAATTTATTGTCTCTATTACAAACTGTACATACTGTAAAAGTATTTGGTCCATAGTAGAATACTTGTCCTGAGAACAATATGAAAGAAACCTAAAGCTGAACCAAATCTAAAAGGTAATAAATAGTCAATCTCCACTGTTTAAAACTGTTTATTCCTAACTAGACTAACTGCAAAGCACCAAGGTGAAAGGTGAATGAGCAGATTTTAGACTGCAGCTAATTTTTAATCCTGAAATAAACAAACATTGTGAGTCACATACTGATCACACAGTTTAGTGTGAAAGTTTCACCTCCCTAGGCCATTTTAACTCCCCAGGTATTTTGATTTTAGTTTAGATAGTGTCTCCTTCTTCCACAATAGCTGCTCACAGGTTTACAATTCCTCTTTCATTAATAATATTTGAGAGAGCTGGATTAAGTCGTTTTAGTAAAAAATCAAGTTTTGGCACTTGTTGTGGACCTTGGATCATGAGAACTTTAGTCCATGGATGCCAGTATTTGAATCATTGATTATTATTATTATTATTATTATTATTATTATTTTATTATTTATATAGCGCCAACAAATTCCGTAGCGCTGTACAATGGGTGGACTAACAGACACAAATTGAGATCAGACCACTGACGTACAGGAACAGAGGGGGTTGAGGGCCCTGCTCGATGAGCTTACATGCTAGAGAGAAAGTGGCAACCTATTCTGCGGCGCTGTACAATCCCATGTGTACATCTTCTCAAGAAAAAAAAACAGAGTTTTATGTATTATGAATTATAATAACATTTAAGCATTACATGTGTTAATCTCCATACATAGTAACTGAGGTAATATTTCAGGTCAATGGTAGGACGCCAATAGAAATGTGATTGACTAGTAAGTGGTGTACTTTTTAGCACTGTAGGGGTTAATATTGATACAGTTGTAGGAACCTTCCAAGTGAATGACTAACTTCAAGTAGTTCTTTAAGCTCTGAATAACATTTGAGTAAAAATGTAAAAGAAACATTTCAGAGTTTCTAGGCAGCTGAATTTTTTTCTTTTCTACATATGTTATACTGCAATCAGTGAAGAACGAGTGAGAATGGGTTAAATGCAACTTTTCCCCGTTTGAGAAATCTCTCCGTATGCTTTCTCCTTTAAGAGATGAACTATTCCCTATGAATATTTAATACACTTTGCCTGCATTGGCCGCATGACGCAGGTTTGTGCTTCACTTACACCAGAAGATCTGAAAGGTATTGAAGAGAAGAGGAAACATTTTAACCGAACTTAAACCGAATCTCTTTCTGATTGCAAGCCTGCAAAACATTTCACTGACAAAAGCAAATGACAAACAAGGCAGGATGGCGGTACAGGGGAATGAGCTGGGTAGTGTGTTCATTAACATGACAATGATGGCATCACAGTTGGGAGCTGCTTTTCTTTGCCTGGTGAATTTTTTCCTTCAGCAATCAGCCTTTCGAACTCAGAGCCTTAAGTGTGTGAATTTGTCCTTGATTGTGTAGGTAAAAATATGGTTTCAGGTTTTCTTTCTTGGCTCCCCTGTTTGAGTACCCAGATGAACAGCACTCCAAGGGTAAGTGAAAGAGAGAGAGAGAGAGAGAGAGAGTGTGTGTGTGTGTGTGTTGGTACATTCCGTGCAGAGGTCACTATTCCTTAAAAGGTGTGCAGTTGAAGATTAGGAATAAAGTGAATGAATGCTGGTGGTATATTGTGCATGATATGTTACCTTCAGTACTGTGTAATGTACAGGGATCATTAGAGTCAGATCTGTACTGATATAAAACTATTGGAAGGGCATTGTATGAATATCTTCAGGAAGATCTACTAAATAATGAATGATATTAATTGTTTGATTGTACAGCCTCAAATATATCCACTTTTTTCACTTCGGTTGTGACCTAAATTTTTCAAGTCAGTAGACAACACATGGCTTATCAGTGTTTACTGAATAACAGGGTTAAAAGCATTAGGCATTACAAGAAGTGACCATGCGGAAAAGGAGGATGACCATATTAATTATGATTTCAGTTTAGATGTTTAGGCCTAACATTTGAAATTTACTTTAAATCCTAACAGTTTACGCTTTAGTGAATTATTACCCCTGAAAGCCTTGAGGGTTAAAACTTTTAAAACTAGGAGTTGAGTACGATATAAATGATATAAGGTTAGATAAAAATTTCCAAGTTGGCTAAACTGAAGAATTTTTTTTTTCTCCCAATTTGGAGTTTTGCGACATGTTCCTCAACTCACTGCAGCATTGTGTTAACAGAATAAATCCTTACCTGTTTTTACTTTTTGAAGTAATCAGATCACTTTTTTTTAATACTTTACAGGGTTATTCAATAAAGTGAGAATTTAAAGTGAATTTTAAATTTAAGGCCAGAGTAGCCAAACTGAAAGCATAGCTGACTTGGAGAATGTTTCCATTCAGCTATTTTAACCTTAAATTTGAAACTCCTTTTGAATAACACTTAGAATTCTTATGTTGGGGAATAGCCCTGTTAATGTATTGCAAGGTTAACTCCAACACACTTGCAGTAATATGTTCTGCACAAAATATATATTCCTAAACCCAGTTGGTAAAAATCAATATTTCTTTAGAATTATTTTCAGGGACACGGAACATAAAATGGAAAAATGCAGAGAAATGCAATTGTAATCCATCTCACTAAGATCATTAGTGCATGGCTTTAATTTGCTTTCCTTGTAATTATTGCATGGGAGGCAGATAGATAATCTGCATAATCCCTCCTATTTTGCATCATGTCAAGTCGATAAAGTTTATCATAGAACAATCACATAGAAGTATTGGCATTTTAACAGCTCAGCGAGCTGTTTGCCAAATCACTTTTTAGTGAACAAACCCCCATGTAAATTGCTGATACATTTTATGTTGTGCAGGTTTCACACTCCTGTTGCGACCTCTATGTTTCTGCTTGCTCATCTATAGTACATTGCCAAGTTCCTGGCTTTTGTTTTTGCAATGTATATACTTATTATATCTGGGGGGTTTTGGGGGGAGGGGGCGGGGTTTCCTTTTCTTTTTTGCTGATAATAAATTAAGGTACATAATAATTTATACAAAATAATCTACTTTGTGAAGTTTAAAAAAAGTAATATATATTCTTTTGCTATGTAATTTTCTTGATTTGAAATAGCTGTATAATATAATTTTCTAAACTACTGATGTGTATTCACTATACAGAAAGTTGTGGTGACTTGACAAAGAATTTACAAAATTGAGCTAAAATAACATAGCATAATATTATCTGCTATTCAGAGATGGAGATTTATTTCTGACTTTGCTATTGTGGCCTAAATTTTGCAAGTTGATTCAAGTCAGTACAACCAAGTTGTGTTCTTCTTTAAATTTAAAATGATGGTGAATAGTTAAGGGGATTGCAAACCATAGGCCTTAATAGCAGTTTGAGAGAAATGGGTAAGTTGGAGACTCTTTCTAATTCGGCTATTTTAGACTAATATTTTTATATCTTTAGTTAATTCTACAGTCTCTCGATTTAGTGCATACACCAAAAATAGAGAATCTGTACCTGATACATTTATTTTTTTATGGTTTTTCTTCTACGCTTTGAAAGCTTTAATATTAATTTTCCATTTCTTTTATTTTTATTTTTTTATTCTACACGGTTCAACTTTTTTTGTGGGAATAAATATTTTTTTTACAGTAGGTTATAGTCGTGGGGGAAGGAATTCCTCTTAAAATGAATTCTTTTAAAGTGAATGAGATAAGAGGGATACAAAAGGGCCACTGGACACTGAGAGCCACAGGTCATTTCTGACAACGTAATTCTCTTAGTGTAAATGATGTATAATATTGTCCTGTTATGTCTGCCTGTATTGTGCTGCTGTGTCTTGCTAGATAAACTGTAGATTCCTTTAGAGACTGTGATTTCAATCTGCCTGGCTACTGCCAGTGATCAATAATTCTATTAAGATTAGAGCACCAACATCCACCAGCTCTGTCCAATTAACTTGTTCATTTTAGTGCCCTGGAGACTAAATTGAATGCTAGGAGGGCCCAACGGAAAGGTGGTTATTCACTTAATTGTGATTTGTAGAGAACTGATAAATGACTTGCAAATGCAAACCAAAAATAGCTAGGCTGGTAGATGTCTACAGCTCAGTTGAAAAGATTAAGACAAATAACTGTTTTCATCTTACGTAACTGTTGGGTTTATTTACTAAATAGCACATTTTTGCATTTGAAAACTTTAGGCTAAATTAGGAGTTTTCGATAAAACCTTCATCTTGGCAAAGCTAGAATTTTTATTTTTTTTTAACTCCGCTAGCTCAGGTTCTCAAGTCAATACATCGGCTTGGTGAAAAAGCCCAGGTAGGTTCCATTTCCGAGAGTTTAAAACAGAACTTCTGTGCAAAAACAGGCTATTGTGTGTAACTGTATAAGTGAGTGTAATGATCCTTGCATTTTGCCATTTTATGAATTAAATGTTTAATTAACTGAGGGATCTATTCGCTAAACAGGGAGATGAGGTGCGCTGATCACCATTTTGTGAAATATAATGGAAATCAAAACATGGGAGATTTTTTTCCATAACTTACAATTTACAAGACAGATGACGAATCTCAAACTAGTGGTTGGTAAATAGATCCCAGAGTTTTCTTCTGTAAAATAAATAAGAGTCAACATTTATATTGGTGTATTTTATACAAATAAAACATTTTATATTCCTTACTAATATCTAAATATCAGGATTTCCTAAGCAGGCCGCACATTTTAATATGTAAGACTGACATATTTTGTAAGCAGCTTAAGTGCGCCACAAAACTATTTGGTTATTTTTCAATTTATAATATATGTGATAAATAACTATTGTACTTTGTTAGGTAGACAAATTAAGTACATCTGCCATGCATGGTACTCCTGGGTATGTTACGTACAAATCACCTTATCATAGTAATGTTTCACCGTATGCTAGATTCAGTAAAACAAATCTATAAGGCAAGCAAAATCACATAGGTTTTCATATTACACATACTGAACTGTAGTCTATTTTAATCTGTCTTTAAAAATAAATATAAAGGTAATCAATGAGATGATTTATATAACTATGACTTTTTACTTCAACATTATTACACTCTTTTTGTTTAGAATTAAACTATACCTTTAAACACCCCACACGATCCTTAATGTAGAACTATAGAGGCACAAGCATTGCAGTGTTGGGTGCATTAAGGACACAAGATCTCAGCGGAGGGGTGGGATCTAATGAGCTATAAGATCTTAGTGAATTTTCAAAGTTACTTCTACATAAAGTATTAATGCTTGAGTGTGGGGACCATTGATTTATTAACTACAAAATTATTTGTGGTTAGTGACAATTGCTTTACGATCTTGTAGGACATGAAAGCAGAGTTGGAAGAATTTATTTTTTCCAAAAAAGCTAAGGCCTAATTTTGCCATATTCATTAACCACTTGTAGCCTGACTTTAGCAAATAAACCTCCCCAAAAAATATCTTCTACAAGTCCTTCCCTCCTCCACAAACTATTAGAAGCCTACAAATGATTTCTTTGCAAAATATTGATGACGTGATTGACAGCAAATGTCATTGGTTTGTTAATTTGAAAACATACTTCTAGTTTTGATTGTATTGGATGCTGCTGGAATATATGTCTATCTGAAGCCGCTTATGATTAAGAAGAGTGGCTGTGTAAAAACCAGACATTCTGCTATTCTAATATTGAAGGGAGCTATCACAATGGTGGGATACCTGCCACAGTGTATGCATTGTCTTCGGTAGAATAAAGCTGTTGTTCAGTCCCCTCAATCTGGGCAAACTGGCTTCTGTTCAGTAGATGATGTAAAAGAAATTTTCTATTTTTATCCTTCACAAACAACTCAGCCCATTCCACTGCTGCTGAGATGAAATTCTCCTCTGATACAAAAAGAGGCCTTTATTCTGTGTTTAATTGGAGTTTAAAGAGACACTATGGTCACCCACACAAGATAAAGTTTTAGGCTGCAATTTTTTTACTCTTGAATACTCAGCCAAAATAAAAAAAATAAAACATTTAACAGTTCTCAGCTTAGTAACCTGGCCCCCTTAACAACGCAAATGCAATTTATACAAGGTGTTTCTGATTGGGATTCACTCTAGTGTACGTACAGAACTCAGCCACTGTGATCAAACTCAATTAAACTGGGGGGGGGGGGGAGCATGTAGCCAGCAGAAATGAAGAGAGGACAGCCCCGAAGACAACATAATTCCCAACATTTCAAATCGATCAAAAGGGGCACTTTAACTTTATTGGTGTGACTGTGGGAGTGACCAGGAGCAGGGCATTGAAATTTGCCAGATTGGTTATGTTGCCTTTGAGAGCATATGGCAGCCCAGGAATGAGAATTACCCCTGTCGCGATATACCATTTGCAAAAATAGCCAACGTATTCAATATAGGGGTATGTCCAGACTTCCTTACTAGCTACTAAGTCACAAACACTGGCCAAAGTTAGCATTCATATTTGTTTTTTCGCATTTGTCACACACCAACTGCATTTTGAGTGATGTATCATCATCGTTTTATTTTTTTTAAACATTCATATTTGTGTTCAGCGAAGTCACCCAAGTAAAAGTTTTATAGTGTTTTGCAAAATGTCAGTGTTAAATATAGGGCTTGCAAATTAAATTCTTTGGACTGCGTCGGCTGTCAGGCAGATTCCTCATATTGTAATTAATAGAATTACATTACTTAAAAAGATTACATAAACATACACTTTATTTACAGGTCTACCAATACGTTGGTTTCGGCACACCTCAACCTAATTAGTCATACTCCTACTGGTATGAGAAGGTATCATTTATACTTACGGCTGTTATTGTCCTGACCACAAATATATATATATATATATATATATATATATATATATATATATATATATATATATATATATATATATATATATGAAAATGCACTTAGAATGAAGTTGTGTGTGTGTGTGTATATATATAAATATATATGATCTAAGTATTTATTTAATAAATAGTGTGTGTTTAATGATTTTAAAAAAATTATATTCCAGGTTTGGGGATCTGCTTGACAACCCCTGCAGGCAGTGCTGTAGCCTGCTACTGCTGCCGTGTGGCCGTGATGTCATCGCGATCACATGGGACTGGCTTCATGGGGTTGTCAGGCAGTCACCCCGATAGGGATCGCTGTGGAGGGTAAGTGTGGCGGGCCAGGGAGAAGTGACGAAACACTGCCCTGCGGCATTAAAGTCCACATTTTGCATGACTGCTGTCCCGGACCAAAAAACCCCCACCACAGATTTATTAAATGATTATTCCCTGCGTCCACAACAGACAGCTCTATCAAAATGAACCACGAGACAAAACAAAGAAAACAACAGCACACAACCAACAGCAACCCCAACATTAACATTTTTGGGTGGGCGGGCGGGAAGCTAGCACCACTACACTTCTGCCCTGGAACTGGTGAATACCCTCTCCTTTCTCCCTTTCTTAATGTGCCCAGGGTGCCACAATGTATCCCCTTAGGGACCATCCCCTTATCCCTGCCAGCAGTCATGTCATCCCTTCCTTATATTTTCATTGAGGTAATGGTCTGCATAACATGCCGCTTTATCCTTAAGGGGTTAAAGACATATTCCTGTGATTATTATTGCTGTGGAGCTCTCTTAAACACGTACCAACAATATGGAGCTCCTAGAAAAGAGGGACATTAGGATAGAAAAGAGGGATACAGGGATTTGGCCCCAACATAGGGACACTTGGAGGTAGGAGATGTTTCAGCCTGTCTGATCATTTGTCTATGTGTATTTTTGTTTGTTTTTTATTATTATTTTTTTATTAACTCCCCGCCCCACCTCCATTGTATTTGTAGTAGCCCTACGTTTGTGAACACAACAGGCCACTTTCTCCTTAATGGTTATGAGCAGTTGTGTAGGAAGTAATCAGGCTCTCTGCACAGCACTCATTAATCCCTCAAATCCTGCCTCTCAGCTTATACCCACATGAAAATAATAACTCCTACGCACTCCACCCACCACACCTAGAACTACTGGATCCCCAATAACTGTTGCCAAATATACAAATTTTGCTCACTATAGCAGTGGATTTGTCAAAGATGTACATGCCCATCCTGCACAGCTCTCTTATTGCCCTCTACCACCTCTTGGCTATGGCCACATGCTGCTCATTAAGAGCATGGAAAAATTCAAGTACCCACCCATTTAATGTACTCGATGCACAGAATACGGTGGGGAAACAAATTAAATTGGAGGCTTCTGTTCTTCAATGAGAGATGGGAAGACTGACTAGTAAAATGTAGGTAAAATAGCAATGGTATACATTAGTAAGTTGAGAAGCAACCAAAAAATATAGTCCGAAACAATGGTTATTGAAAACGGAAGACATAGCTGACTTGGAGATTGTTTCTAATGCAGCAAACTGGCTGAAAATCATTTAGAATTACCATTTTTAAAGCCATATGGGAGATTTTGACAAAAATAGACAATATGTAACTAACTGAGCTGGGGAATGTTCCCACGTGAGCATTTTCAGTTCACTGCAATTCACATTTTAGTGAATAAATTACGCATATTTGTTATTGTCTTATTAAAACTAACAGAATTATTATAAATTATACAGCATTATAATTTACCCTTTTTTTTTAAAACCAGACCAGTTTAAGTGCAGTCAAGTAACCTCTTGTTCCTGGACCTGAAAAGCTACTGTCCTTATTTTGCCTATTTTCCTATAATTTTGATACTGCCATATTATATTGTTGTGGGATATGTTTAACCTTTAAACAATAACAATATAAATGTTTTTAGAAATGAAACATTGTTTAGCTTTTGTGAGTTTTCAAGTATTGCCAGGAATGTCAAAATCTAGAATCATGATACTTTTATTTCATTGACTTTGTTTGTATTTGCTTTTATTTAGAGTGTGTTCATGATGGTACTTCTGCAATGGCAAATAATTGAATAGGGAATTGAAAAGTTTAGACTAAAAGAAACATATCAGAATATCCTCCACCACAGCTATTTTTCCAAATTGGCAAATGTGGCAAAACTCCTGTCAGTACTCCACAAAACTGCAGTTTAGTGAATAATCCCCAGAATATATATACATGCCAGAAGCATTTTATGTTGCACTTACTTACTCTGACTGTTGTCTTCATAGGAACACATTAACATTAAAGTAAATATGTTTATTTTTAATGTTAGAGTATTTCTTGTTGTCTTTAGATCCAAGGCCGACCCACCCCTTTTTTTTTACATAATAAAAAATAAAAAAACGGGGGAATAAAACTATAAAATTTACCTGTAATCCAATGCCTAGACAATGGTCATGGTAATGATCTCTGTCCAATCCGTAGAGAAGCATTGGAGACATAGATCACATGCATGCTGTGAGAAAACCCACCGGGAGTTCGGGGTTTTCTCTGAGCATTCGTCTGTTTGGTTTATTCGTTTATTTTATGCCACATTGGTTCTGTAGATTGAAACTACCGAACACCGACCACCCTCCTGGCTCATTGACTTCAAAGGAGCCCGTCAATTAAGTGCTCTCTCAGGGTGGCCGCCATTCGTATATACGAATGCCACGTGGCGGAGAAAACGGCAGCCATCTTGTTTGTTCGGGACACAGGCAGCAGGACTTGGTCGTTGAGTGTCTGGAACTAAAATCGGACACTCGACTTCCCGAACACCGGTCTCAAACATATGAACGGTGGAACCGTATTTGCCGAACAGCCAGGAGAGCGCATTTCTGTACTTTGATGTATTCATATGAGGGGAACAATCGCTCCTATGAGCCAGGAGGCTCCGTTCGTGGATTATGAAGTTATTTGACATTTTCAGAATTGACCGACCGCACACGCTGAATTCGTGGAACTATTTTGGGCAAGAGCTTCCACACTTTTTAAAAACCCCTGAACCAATCTGGGTGAAATTTGGATGTGTTGTTCCCCCAGATCGGGACTATCAGGGGATGTGACATTTGTGGGGATACCTTAAGTATAAAGGGGTGTTCTGAGTTTGGGGAAAATGTGTGCACTTCACCTGGAGATAATTAGGTTATTCCTTAACTTATCTCATTATCTCACAGGCGGAGACAGGGAGTGTTTAAGTGTAACTGTACCTTATGATTGGCTATTTGATTTGTGTACTGTGGGAGGTCCTCCTGCAAGGGGACCTACATAAAAGCCTGTGTGGTCTCAATAAACATGAGTTGTTACACCTTTCATCATGTTTCGGCTGGTGTTTGGGTACCTGATTACTACTTGGGGAAAGCTGTACTAAAGGATTTTGTTTCTTTGGACTTTAACTACCGACCAGAAGAACCGGCCGTTCGACGCAAATCATACAAACCCATAGCTACAACTTCAGGGTTCATTACACATGCCAATAACCACATTCTGTCAATCTGATACTTCTCATAGAAGCATTGATTCCAGTACTTCTCTTTGAGAAGCATTAGCTGTGTTCGGTGTCATCATCCTGAGTGTGATAAAGCTGAATGTGGAAAATCAAAGATCACTGCCCTTTTCGTCCTGCAATGTAAAACATTGCTGATTTGGAGATTCGGCAATGTAGTCATTGTGTGGCTAAAAGCACCTTCGGTGGCTGTTATACTGACAACCACTAGATAATGCTTCATCTATGACTTCATCTGGGTCAGACTCGATTATTGACGTTCTACGACCTCACACATTGCATGAGGAAGTCAAATGTTCATTAACAGGAATATACAACAGATGAGAGGTCACCCATTAAGGCTGGAAGAAAGGTGTTTTCCACTTTTTATGCAGTATAATTAGTCATCATTTCAAATTAATAGTTTGGATCAACAGCATAAAAAAGATTAAACTTGATGGACTTGAATTATATTTCAACCTTACATGTAACTGTGTAAAGTAAATTTTATATTTGAGGCCACAATTGCCAAAATAAAAAATAAATATTTTCATGTCAGCAGTGTTTTCACCTAATTTTGCTGATTATTTGAAATTTAGCTTGAATTCACAGTGTTTTTTATCCAATAAAACTCAAAAGTTGAGTTGACATTTTTATTCTGACTGATACTTTAACTTAAAGCTGTCTGATAATAAACTTACCACATTGTACATTTTAGGGAATAAACTGCCTAAGTCACTTGTGCGTAAAAAGTATTATCTGCTTTGGTAGAAAGTCAGAAGAACACAATTATTGCAGACCAGGACAAATATATCTCCCAATGCCATCATGGATGAACTAGTTATATTACGTGAGAAGCTGTAAAACTATATGACTCACAGAAATACCTTTCTTCCCTCAGACTTTCTCTCTGACCACATTCTCATTTTATAGAAATACCAGCAATAAAGCACAATGTTTAAAGTGATCTAATGTTTTCATGTACCAAAAATGGTTTATTTGAGAAAAAAATGTAGTTTCCAACCTTTTTGCTTACATTTTAAATTGTAAACATAAAATTTGAGCCAGTCAAATAAATATAAACAATCACTGTATGAGCCTCTCCTGCTCCATTGGTTCCTTCCTCGCCTTTGTGGTCCAACATAATGTATAACACATTGAGATGACTGCATAACTTCAGGGACCAACATACACGCACAGACCTCTTCATGTATACTTTAAAACTGCTGTAATAGCAATATTATTGTGTGTCTTTGTCTGGGAGATTGATCACAGGGTTTTCTGATATATTTTTAAACGTCTAACACTGTCCACCAAGCAGAAAAAAATATACCTTTCTCTGCAGTTGATGTAAATTTGAACAACTGGCTGAGAGCGATGGTATTTGTAGCCCATAAACTTTAAAGGGACAAGGTTTCGCAATCACAGATCAAATATCAAATTGGAAGAAAAAAATAAGAGACATTACATGTTCATGTTTTAAATAGTCTTTATTGACTTGGAACTTGGGAAGTAGAGAACAAGAACGAATGTATCATTTTCAGAGAGAGAGGGACAGAGAATTAGAGATTAAATAAAAAGACAGACAGATGAAATGGATATATTGTTTTTTTCTCTTAAGAAATATTTTTATTAAAGTTTGGTTTCACAATATTAAATACTGTATTTTCATTGCTATACCATCAGCTGTGGAAAACAAACAAACAAAAAAAACACACAGACACACACACGCTCTCTCTCTTTCTGACCCAGTGTTGAGACAAATAGACACCTGTCTACGACTTTGCTCCTGCTGGACCCTCGAATCTCCTCCTGGAAGCATTAACACTGATGTCTGTGCACAGACTAGCATACTGAGGCAAAATCCAGTTGGGTCTTCTCAAAACCATGATTGGCACTACTTTAGTGTGCTAGTTGGTACATTGGCATTAGCAGTCTCTCCTTCCCTCAGTTGCAGTACTGAGCCAGGTGTGATAGAATATGGGGTCACAATCCAACTCTCCCTTCATGTTTCTGTCTCCAACAGAGGAACCCCTCAGAAGCTGGTCTATGCTCTTTGTCTTTGTCCAAAATGGAACCGAAAAGCATACAACAATGCTAATTAATATATGTCTAATTAGTATATATTGTAAAACAAATTCATTATTGTAACAAAGAGGACAGTTTCATTAAAGACTTGTGGATTAATGTGCAGTTCGAGACTTTACAAGCATTCCCCATGCGAATGCTTGCTAACAACTAACAGGCCACCCTGACTCTAAATTGAGACTCATTTACCTCCCTGCTTGATGGGCATTTTCGTGGAAATAAACACACGAACGCTATATGAACCGTATGCATGGCCGCCATTTCGGGACTTCCACGTGTTCGCGGCCATTTTAACTCCCGAACAGCGGTGTTTTGCCGTCGAGTGTCTGGAACTAAAATCGGACACTCGGATAGGCGAATACCGCTGAGACCTGCATACCTTCGGGAAATCATGCCACAACTACCGAACAACAAGGCATTCGGTAGAAAGACTCGACAACTTATGGGGATTCCAGCGAAACCAAGATAGCATATGGATGGCCAGCCATTCGGGACTTTTTTACACACGAACTAAGACCAACTGCAGGGCCAGAATTCATGGAACTGTTTTCGGCTACTTTGCCCGTGCGGTCGGTCAAAACTTTCAAGTCCCATATCTCCCGAACGGCTGAACCGAATGAGCTGATTTTCGAATATGTTAGTCCCCCAGAAACAAGCTATCTTGACACCGAATTATTTGGGGTACATCCAAACTTTGGGGAAAAATGTTTCTTTTAATTATGTTATGTGGTTATCTAAGGGGAGGGGATGTACAGAATGTATATTGTGTTTATTGGCTGTACTGTTAATTATGTGGGTGTCTCCCTTGCATGGGCAGAATCACATAAAAGAGAGTGTCTGTCATTAAAGCTTTAGTTCTTCTTGACCCTATAAAACGTAGCCTTGTCTTGTTCTTGAAAGGGGAATTTTGCAGCATAATCACTAAGCTCTTTTCAGAGCTGTACCTGACTTCTACTTTGGATCCAGCAGAGGGGAATAAGCAGCTCCATCACTACACAGCGACTTGCCGGGAAGAAAAGGATGTCCCCAACGGCTGATACCCTCACTCTAGCTGGGTAGCCGTTACAATTATGTTTCTAGTTAAAGGGATTATATAGTGCCAGGAAAACAAACTAGTTTTACTGGCACTATAGCCTCCTACAGTGCCCCCATCCCTCGCGTCCCCCCTCCTGCGGTGCTGAAGGGGTTAAAACCCCTTCAGTCACTTACCTGAATCGAGTGCCGATGTACCTTGGTGCTGGGTCAGGCTCCGCCTTTGCTCCTCCCCCACTGACGTCAGCCAGCGGGGGAGACGTAATGGCACAGGGGCGCACTCGCATTAGGATTTCCCCATAGGAAAGTATTATTCAATGCTTTGCTATGGGGAAGAATCTGAATCTGAAACTGAAGCTGGTCCGCTTTATTTCAGGAAGTCCCTCTAGTGGCTGTCTAGTAGACAGCCACTAGAGGAGGAGTTAACCCTCAGAGGTAATTATTGCAGTTTCTGAGAGCTGAAGTGGTCTGGATGCCTACAGTGTCCCTTTAAGTTTCCTCCTCATAGAGAGATACCTTTGTAGATGTAGATTTCTCAATAGCCATGCCTTAGGATCTAAACCACTGTCATCACACTAGGATTTGTGTCATAGTACACCATTCAAACAAAGTTTAATGGTTCATATAGTGTTGCTCTCATTCTCCTTCATCACTACTATCTTGAACAAATTAATGGTTTATGAACATAGATTTTTTTTCCCAATCTATGCCTCAATGGATGTTATGCTAAATCAACTTTTAGATTTTTTTACGATGATTCCCATTGTAAGCTGCATATCGATGTGCCCATGCTTCTATAGGACTCAACCATGTTTCAAATTCAAGTATACCAGCTATGCCACAACTATATGTTGATGTGTGGGTGCAGTTGTGACTGTGGTAGTAAGGAAAGGTCTATTCATACAGCACACCCAAGAGGTTGAGGACCAGACAGGATTATTTCTGGGCTCTGCGCAGATTAAGTGGAATCCTAGCAATCTTTTTTTTTTTCACACATATAACCTCTGGGTGTCTGGGTGTCTGGGTGTTTAGGTGTCTTATGGTTCAGTAACATCCAGTAACTTAAAAAAAGTCTCTTATTTTAACATTACTTTAGCTCTGGTGCTAATGTCATGCTCAGCATACCTCTCCAGACTCCCATATGCTTTTTTTTTTTTTTTTTTGGTGCGATGGACAGAACTCCTATTCACTAATAAAATAACACGTCTCCATTGTCCTTTTCTTTTTCTCTTTTTGTAATTTGGTCATATGGAGATTCGAACTTACAGAATTCAGGAAGGCCTTCCGATCACCTAAAATCCAGACTAAAAGCAACTGATTTATACTGAATGCACAAGCATAGTGTTTAGGAGTCTTGGTAAATTAACCTCTTTGGTTTGTTCATTGTAAATATAAAGGTAAGGAAAATCACTTTTGCAATATGTGTTATGATTATGATACATATTGTTATTGGTATTTATTTAAATACAGCTTTGATTTTCTAGACTTTCCAGTGTCCACACATTTTCTTTTAAATCTTGACCATGTAACAACAAGTTAATCACACAAAATGTAGCAGTATTAGTAGGACACTGCATGCCAAATGTATATATTTATATTTATATCCAGTATATGCATACATACAAAAATATTCCTAGAATACATCAGAATGTATTTAAGAAAAAAAATAATCAACAAAGTACAATGGGCATAAGAGTATAAAAATTAAAGATGGTTTAAGACACACGCATAAGTTTCATGAGCCTAGAAAGGTAAGACATTATTTGCCTCAAGACTGTGAGCTGTATAGAATACAGTTTAGTTTATGTTAATGTATCACACGTTTCTATAAAAAATAGGATTTTAATAAAAGTTCATTAATAAATAGAATTGATAAAAGTATTAAAATTTGAATTAAAGGAACAGAAGCTAAAATCAAGCTACCAGATAGATAGATAGATATTGTTTAGCGTCTAAAAGTTAGCTGTACCATTTAATTACATGCACACCTCAGTCTATTGAATTCTAACCCCAATTAAAATGTGGTCAGCTCCCTGCTGAGAAGTAAGCCATCTAAAACCAGATTAGTGCTAGATACAGCAGAAGTTCTAGAACTGGAAACATTGAAAAAATTATCCGTACCACAGGCCAAGAGCAGCAATCAGTTATAGATGTCTAATAAAGTGAAATGAAGGTTTATAAATGAATAACTAATATAATTTGTGAAAGTGCATTGGATGAAAAGGAAAAGAGCCGCTAGAGGCTGGATATACATGTCAGGTGCACGTAGGCACAGAATTCTAAGGCACCCACAGGCAGATAAAGGGACTTTAATAAATGCATTAACTGGACGTATCATGGTATATATGTGATAAATCTGCACTCTGCGGTAAAAATAGTCAGTACCTGGCGCTTAATCTGGTTTCTCTGTTTGAATTGCTGGCATTACAGTATAACTGTTGTGTAACTAGTGATACTATATTATCACCTAGCAATACTGCAATGTAGTGTTATAAATCATGAGAGAAAGGTTGTGTTGTATCATCATTATCTAGAAACAGTTTCAGGTTTACATTTGCACAAACATTTAGTGCGCATAAATTATGGATCAGAAAAGAAATTTGCACAAGAGAAAATTTCTGTGCATGCATTTCTAAAAGAATCACTTCCTCCCAGTTTCATAAGAGAGCTCCATGTGGGAGGGGAAGGAGGCTGAAGGTGGCAGCTGGAACCACAGGCTGCATGGGGAGGAGAGGCAGAAGTGAGTTGTTGCAGACCCTCATGCTCACTTCTATCAGCCTCAGCCAGCATTAACAGGACCCCAAGAAAGCCACCCTCTTGGACACATAAGGTATGCTAACAGGAGGGTGGATGCAAATATAAAAAATAAAACATGTTTGTGTGTATGTGCAGGGCTTGTGCAAGGATTTTGGCTACACAGGCAAAGGTGCATTTTGCCCCCCCCCCCCTAAAAATAAAAAATGTGTCTTTACCTGTGTGTCTTGTAACCCCTTTTTGAATTTCTTACCCTCTTTAGTATATTCTATGTGATGGGGGGCAGAGGCTGTAGAGAGAAGGACAGGGGTTGTAGAAGGGGAGGCAAGGGCTGTAGAGGGGGGAGCATGAGGCGGGTTCAGTAGCTGAGAGGGGGGACAGAAGCTGAGAGGGGGGACAGGAACTGAGGGGGACAGGAGCTGTGATGGGGTGGGAACAGGAGCTGAGAGGGGAGGCAGGAGCTAGGGTGGGGAACAGGAGCTGAGAGGGGGTACAGGAGCTGAGAGAGGGAGACAGGAGCTGAGAGAGTGGGGACGAGCTGAAAAGATTAGCTGAGAGTGGGGGACAAGAGCCGTAGAAGAGGGGACAGCTGCTATACAGGGGGCCACATTGGCTGTAAAGGGGGGAACAGCTGCTGTAAAGGGGGGCCAGGGGCTGAGAGGGGGGTCAGGGGCTGCAGAGGGGGGACAGGGGCTACAGAGGGTGGGGGCAGGGGCATCAGAGGGGGCAGGGGTTGCAGAGGGGGGGACAAGGGCTTCAAAGGGGGGACTGGAGCTGAGGGGGTGGCAGGAGCTGTGTGGAGGGGGGATTGTGTGTGTATCTGTGTGTATGTCAGTGTGTGTATCTAAGTGTGTGTGTCAGAGTGTGTATCTGAGTGTATGTATGTGCCAGTTTGTGTATTTGTGTGTACGTACCAGCATGTAACTCTGTGTCAGTGTGTGTATCTGAGTGTGTGTGCCAATGTGTGTATCTGTATGTGTGCGTATGTACCAGTGCGTGTATCTGTGTTTCACACACTGTATATGTCAGTGTGTGTTTATGTGTCAGTGTGTATAATCCAGTTTGTGTTTATGTGTTAGTATGTGTATCTGTGTGTCAGTGTGTGTATATGTGTGTCTAGGTGTGTGTATATCTCAAGGTGTGTGCATAGGTGTGTGCATGTGTCAGTGAGTTAATAGTGTGTGCAAATAGTTGCAAAATGTTATTGAATAAAACATAAAATGACTGATAGTAGCAAGATGGCTGACAGCAAAGCAATAGCAGGTTCCAAATGTTATCAATTCTAAAAGCAGGACAGACACTGACAGACATCAGAGGGTGCATACAAAACACACAGCAGCATAGAGAGTGAAAGAACATAATGACTTACAATGTGTTTTAGGTTATGCAAGAAGATATGCGTTCCAGTATTGCTCACACGTTTTAATGAATCTTTCTTTAGCAGCAGAAAATGCTGTTATCATCTTAAACTTTATCAAATGTCTCTGTTCAGTATCGAAAGTAAATGAAGCATGCCTATACCTTATATAAACACTCTAATCAATTTCTCAGCATGAGGTATGTGCATTTTGCTGTTCCAGAACATCACACCCAACATGTAAATGTATTCACAAATCTCCTGTATCTATCCTCCCTGGGGTGGTACGTATCCATCTGGTCTTGCTGAGGGACAGCAATAATAAAGGTTTGTCTGTATTGTCACCCATGGACCTGCAGGAGATTAAAGTGAACCTCTCGTAAGTACACCAAGTAATGCTCTAATGAAGGAGCATAAAAGACAGCTTTATGTTGTGCTGAAAGTGCTTTCCAACGATATTGCCAATCCTCGCTGTGATTACGTTTCTCTGGTGAGCACACTGTGGAATACTGGGGCAAGGTGACAGACATGACTGCGTCATAGGGGAGGCACATTCTGCTAGGGAAAGATCAAATACAAAATCCCCAAGTAGGGTTATGGCTCAAATAGCAAAAAACAAAACAAACAAAACAAACTGATTTGTTTCATGCTTATAGACAGAGCCCTGAACACCCTCTATTCTAGTACGTCCAGCTTGGTTTGTTGCAAATACCTGTCTGTTAGTTTATCTATTGTACAGCTCTGTGGAATTTGTTGGCATTTTATAAATAATAATAATAATATTGGTTTCAAATTTGGTCCTGTGGTGAGCCAGTCCTACTGCTGCTGTTAAATATTTAATTAAATATCCCTAGATCTGTGTGGTCATTTGTGTTTCTTCCTTAATCTTCCTGTAATCTTTTCCACTCACTGTGTTGTTAACCCTCACACTGCTGGGTATTATTTAAGGGTTTAGTAGGAAACATATAATTAGTCCTGCCTCTTTTAACGGGTGACCTGAAGACTTTGGTTATTTTAAAAATGTAAAATATTTTGTATAGATGTCAATTGAGGCAGACATGAATATTATGTCAAAATATCACTATAATACTATAATGAAATGCCCAGGAGCTAAAAACCCTCATGTATATCTAAATATCTAAAAAAAAAACGGCAATCTAAATACCAATATAGACAATACATAGTCCCACAATAAGTCCAAAATAGGTCCACACTATATAGCATGAGAGTCACTCCCACTGTTTGTAAAAACAACACAGAAAAGGGAGACCCAAATGCCAAATTAATATACTTTTTTTTAAGAAAGATACAGTAAATCTCAAGTGATAACAATACACATAAAAAAGCAAGCCACTATAGAAGAGCTGGTTGCTAAATGGTTGCTAAAATGTAGCAGAATATTCCTTTGGGTGCCTAGGAGTCAAAATGAAAAAACATAGTGCTCACTGAAGTAACAAGATTTAATATAAATTTGAAGATTAAAAACACTCATGTAAGATATTTGAATAAAAGCAAAATCGGCTCAATAGCCTTTAATAGAATCTGATCCTGTGATCCTAAGGATGGATGAGGTATGTAGGAGCTGCAGTACATCGTGTGTTTGAGCCGCCTGTGAGGTCAACGTGCGTACCACAGTGGGTTCCACCTGAAGCCTTACTTCAAGGTTCTCCTATTACCCATCTCGGATCGATCTCCGTTGCCAGTCTGGTTTCAGCAGCGGCAAGCATGGTGCATGGTGCTTCCAAAAGTCTAATGTCTCACACGTTGCACGGGGATCCCGCCCCACTACATCAGAGACATTGACATGAAAATTGTATATAAATATTATGTATCTATTTTGCAGTATACTAGTATATGAATGTATGATCCATTTGGTTCACAGATGAAGAGAAAAGAAGTAAAGAACAAAGGCAAAAATGGAGGAGCAACAAAAATTCCATATTTATATATTACTATATTAAAATTTATTAAAATATAATATATAAATACATAACTACAGTTTTTTTTACAGATTCTCCTTTTTTCCCCCTCTATTGGTTGCTTGTCACTTAATCTGTTAATAAAATTTAACAGATCCGTCTGATCCGTCACAACATTAAAACCACCTGTCCAATATCGTGCAGGTCCCCAAAAACAGGTGCTGCCAAAACAGCTCTGATGCTTCATGGGCTCCACAAGACCTCTAAACGTGTCCTGTGAAATCTGGCTCCAAGATATTAGCAGCAGATCCTTTAAGTCCTGCAAGTGGTGAGGTGGAGCCTCTATCGATTGGATTTGTTGTTCCAGCACAGTTTCACAGATGCTCAATCGCATTGAGATCTAGGGAATTTGGAGGCCCTGAACTCTTTGTTATGCTTCTCAAACTATTCCTAAAACATTTTTACAGTGTGGCAGGATGCATTATCCAACTGAAAAAAGCCACTGCCAGTAGGGAACACCACTACCATGTATATAGTCTATAACAATCTCTAGGTAGGTAGTACGTGTCAAAGTAACATTCACATGAATGTCAGGATCCAAGGTTTCCTAGCAGAATATTGCCAAAAAGCATAACCCTGCCTCTACCGGTCTGCCTTCTTCTCATAGTGCATCCTGTTGCCATCTTTTTCCCAGGTAAATGACACACACTCACCCATCTATCCACCTGACCGAAAAGAAAACATGATTCATTATTTTTTCCATTGCACTATGGTCCACTTCTGACATTCACATTCCTATTGAAGGTGCTTTCGGCAGTGGACAGAGGTCATCATGGGCACTCTGACCAGTCTGTTGCTATGCACTCCCCTACGCAGCAAACTGTAATGTCCTGTGTGTTCTGACATCTTTCTATCATGGCCAGAATTAGGTTTGTTTTCAGTAATTTAAACTACAGTAGCTCTTCTGTGTGATTGGTCCACATGAGTTAGCCTTTGCTCCCCACATACATCAGTGAACCTTTAGCGCCCATGATGCTGATGCTGGTTCACTGGTTGTACTAACCACTGAATACAAAAAACACACCACAAGTCTTGTTGTTTTGGTGATGCTCTGGCCCAGTTGTCTAGCCGTCACTATTTAGCCCTTGTCAAAGTCACTCAGATCTTTTCCTTTGTCCATTTTTCCTGCTTCCAACACATGAAATTCAAGAATTTACTCTTCACTTGCTGCCTAAAATATCCCACATGTTTACAAGTGCCACTATAACAATATAATTATTGTTGTTCTGTTCACCTGTCAGTGGGTTTAATGTTTAGGCTGATCATTGTAGTGGCTGTCCCCTAACCAACAATTATCTTCTATTTATTTATTTATTTATTTATTTATATATTTATTTTTTTGTGTGTCATAGACGGAGTTCTGAATCATGAAACAAACTAAATGGTTCCTTTAATATCTGTTTCATTTGCTTCCTCATTTATCTGAAGTCCTGAACTCTGAGTTGACAAACACCTAAAATTCAGATTAATTGTGATTTATTTGAAACTGAGTCTAGTCGTCATGTTTAGTGAATGAAAGCATTGAGGATATATGTAAGCAGTTTGTTTCTGATAAGGAGTATTTTTGTATGGCTTGACAGACACTACTAATAAAATTGGGTTATTGAGGCAGCAGCCATAATGACTAGGCACAAAAGGAAGAAAATAGTCTTGACAGAATATTGTGAATGCAGTTAATGTTGGTGTGGGAACAATAACAATAAGGAGTTGTTAAAAGAGATATTAATTATACATATAATGCTCATTGTTCTCTCCTGTTAGAATGGGGAAGTATTGCAATTTAAATGAAGATTCCAAACCTAACCACTACAGTGCACTCTACTGGTTAGAGTGCCCTTGCTGTACTCAATGTAAGTAGTAAACTGTAGAATGGTTTGGCTTCTTACCTGGAATTCACCAGGCACCTGTTTCAGGTCTCCAGTACAGCTGAGTCAGCCTGCAGTACAGATTGTAGAGTAAGAAGCTCCAATAGTAGTTGTTGTAGGGTAGTGACTGATGTTTGTTGTTGTGTGTAGGCAGGTACGTATTTGCCGTGAGGCAAACAAGGCATTTGCCGTGGGTGGCACTTTCCAGGGGGCGGCAAAAAATGCCACCCCCAAATGCCCAGGCAAATACCTTGTTAGCCTGGCGGCATTCGGCTAAGTAAAAATCCAGACGGGCTTGCGGCGCCAGCGAGGGAGCACTGATTTGTGAGCTGTCTCTGCTCAGCTCCCTCGCGCGCCGAGATTACAATTAGCCGCCCAAGTGCCTGCATGCCTGCCTCCCTCCCTGCAAGAAGAACCACTGGACCCCAAGCAAAAAAAATCCATCCAGCTCTTCCAAACGTAGGGAGACTGGGTGGATTTAAACTAAAATAGAAAAAGTAATCTTTATTAATTAATGTTTGGGGGGGGTGTTGAGTGTGTGTCTGAGTGATTGTGTGTGTCTGGCTGTCAGTGTGTGTCTGAGTGATTGTGTGTGTCTGGCTGTCAGTGTGTGTGTGATTGTGTGTGTCTGGCTTTCAGTGTGTATCTGAGTGATTGTGTGTGTGTATGTCTGTCACAGTGTGGCTGTCTGTCAGTAATTGTGTGTGTCTGGCTGTCAGTGTGTGTGTGTTTCTGGCTGTCAGTGTGTGTATGTCAGTGTGTATCTGAGTGATTGTGTGTATGTCTGTCACTGTGTGGCTGTCTGTCAGTGAATGTGTTTGTTTCTGAGTGATTGTGTCAGTGAGGGCGCCTGTGTGTCTGAGTGCTTGTCTGTGTGTCTGTCTGTCAGTGTGTGTCTGTGAGTGAATGTCTGTCAGTGAATGTCAGTGAATGTGTGTCTGCGTCATTATGTGTGAATGTCAGTGAGTGTGTGTATGTCAGTGAGTCAGTGATTGTTTGTGTCAAATCAGTGTGTGTATGTCAGTGTATCTGAGTGTGTGTCTGTCAGTCAAAGTGTGTGTTAGTCATTTAACCCTCAGTCAGGCGCAACTTATCCAACAGGCACAGCCAATGTTTGTTGTTTTGTCCTACCAAAGCAAGCGCTCGTTACCGCCCGGCCGCCTCAGTAGCTTCTTGTTTTTACATTCTGCAGTTCGCATTTGAACGTCGTGTGTCTCTTAGGCACATTGCGCCCGATTGCAGTACAACCATTATATGTCTATAATTACTTTGGTAAGTAATTTTTCTAATTAATTCAAGCATATTAATGCCATACCTGATTGTTTTTCAATGTTATAATGTTCAACTCCATAAAGAGGCACGATGTTCCTCTCAGGCACATTGCGCCCGATGATGCTATTTTTGTTATTTCTTTGTAGATACGGCAATAAAAATGAACAACTCAAAGAGAATTTTTCAATAATCCGAATGATGTAGCGGATATGATGAAAATGCTAGAGGATGAATCAGATGATGAAAATATTTTTGAAGATTCAGATGAAAGCGACGATAGCGTGACTGAAGATAACATGGAAGCATGCATTGAGAGTTCTGAATCAGAACAAAACGATGAAGAATTCAGCGATGACAACAGCACAGATAACGCTTCATATTTTCTCGGAAAAGACAAGTCCAGTAAATGGTATCGAGATATTCCCAACAAGAAAAATCGCTCCGTGCCTCATAATTTGTTGAAGCAGTTTCCAGGTGTTATGGGCCCCGCAAAGTTATCAAAATCTCCAGTTGACTGTTGGAAATACTTATTCACTGGAGATATTCTGGATATAATTGTAAAATATACTAACCAATATATAAATATTATCAAAAATAAATAAGGACGTGAACGAGACGCCAAACTTACTGATGACATTGAAATAAATGCGTTCATAGGTATATCATATTTGGCTGGAGCTTATAGTGCCCTGGATGGAGTGGAAGAACTAAAAGAGATGAAACTTTCCTACGTTGGCACAGTAAAGAAAAACAAAAGAGAGCTGCCACCTGAATTTTTCACAACGAAATCTAGGGAAGTGTATTCAAGTCGCTTTGGATTCAATCGCGGTACTACATTAGTATCATACGTACCGAAGAAGAACAAAACTGTTATCCTTGTGTCCAGCTTTCATCACGATAAATCTCTTGATTCAGAAACAGGCGAGAAAAAGAAACCATCGATAATTACATTTTACAATTCCACAAAGGGAGTAGTAGACAATGTTGACAAAATGTGTGCTACATTCAGCATTGCAAGGAATATAAAACGTTGGCCTATGAATATATTCTTCACCATGTTGAATGTTGCTGGTATAAATTCGCAGATAATTTATCTGGGAAATGATTTGAAACCAATAAAGAGGCGTCTATTTCTGAAGCAGCTTTCTCACGTACTTACGTTAGATGAACTTCAAAGACGAAGTGAAAAAACAATCGGCATTCCGCTGCATATTCAATCAAAACTGAAATGATTTCGTAATTGTGAAAATGTAGAAGAAGATAAAGAGGAAACTTTAGAAGGCGCATTACATGCACTACGGATAGCGGACGACGTAAAGAAATGACTGCAGCAAGTGTAAACGTGCGTTATGTATGGAACATGCTACTTTTTATTGTAATAAATGCTCAGAAATTGCTTTCGCCAATGTTGTAGAGCAAATGGAATAATAAACATGTTTTTATTTGAGTAAAAAGTTTGTTTTTGTAAAAGTGGCCTATTACGCACAAAGCGCACGATCCTGTTCTTACTCACATTGAGCCTGACAGAGGGTTAACAGTAAGAGGTGTGGCATTGACAGGAAGGGGTGGGGCAAATGTAAATTAGGGGGTGCCCAAGTTCCGTCACGCCTAGGGAAGCACAGATACTAAATACATCACTGTGTTTAGGTATTTGTGAGAAGAGTGTGTGCTCTGTGTGGTTAAATGCGTGTGCTGTTAGTGGGGAGAGTGTGTTTACATCAGGATAGGGAGGTGGGGGTGAGGGGGTCTATATTCCATGGTGATCCAGTTTGGTCAGAGGCCAGTTCCCTAGTGGTCTTGTGCAGACGGTTTCTTGTCCACTGGTTGTCAGGTGCTTGTGGTCTGCTTCTCCAGCTGCTGCAGATCACTGTAAATGTTCCTTTTAGTCCGGGACTGCAATACAGCACACACAGTGCACAAGGTCATTCAGGGGAGATCTTTTGCGCAATCCTATGATCCCATTGTTTTTCCTCTTATTTGTAGCAATTCAGGCCAATACCTTTAATCCTAAAATATGTACCATGCCACTGCCTTAAGATACCAAAACAGACAACATAGTTTCTCCTGTCAAGGCACCAAATCAGGACCAATAACTTAGTTAAGCATTTCTGACTTGTTTATCCTTATGTACTTGTGATGTAAATAGTTTTTTCTTGTCATATCATTGTTCAGAAAAAACATTAATAATTTAACGTCTCATCCATCTTTAATTTCTTCATGGCTACCAAAGGAATAATGTTACCAAAAACCTTAGCAGTATGTAAGTTATTGTTTAATTTTACATGCTATACTAAATACATATAAACATGTACATTGTCTGGTATTGCAAGATCAATATTTGATGGGAAAGCACTTGCTATGGTGTGCTCGATAACATTTAGTAGTTATGAATGTCCTGACAAGGGAATCTTTGGCATTTCAGATGTAAACTGCATTTCCTTTAATGCTCTTCTAGCCATATAATGGACAAGCAACAGGACAGATAAAGTCAACCACATCTGGCGTGCCAAAGGTGGCGTACTGCTGGTACTCCTGGTTTCCTTTATACACACACTTTTGAGTTCTTCATGTTGGACAAGATAATAGACGTTGGAAGTCCACTGCAATCCACTGGTAATATGGTAAAGTACGTGGCAAATGATTTGCATGTCAACTACTTGATAAACTGTTATTAAAATAAATTAGCCTTCAATTCTGAAATTAAACTGTCTTTACGTGATGTTGTATTCAGTGAATAAATAAAGAAAACGCGTTTTATCTACATTGTTCTACTGGCAGAGGGTCAAGTCTTAGCTTGGTTATTCTGATCATATGTTGCTAAAAAGTCTGATAAAAATCTAGAGTGTCAGGATTACTTATTGATCCAGCATGTAGAATTGTGTCACACTGAGGACTAATAGGTAACGTATTACTGGGCCTTAGAATGGCCGGACTTAACGCACCAAAGAATAGTCAGGATACTAGCCGAGTTAAGGGACACAGAATGAGACACAACGATAAGGGAAAGCCAGAAGTCAGGGATACCAGAATAAAGAGAAGTCAAACAAAGCCAAAGTAAAAAAACAGAATATAAACTCAGGAACACACTCTCGGACAACCACTAGGGAAACCACGACAGGGCAATTAGGAAAAGTAATTTTGAGCTTAAATAAGTGCTTAATTTCTGATTGGCTTAAACGGCCTTTGACCCCAAAACGTGCTCTTGCGTGTCCCATGTGGCGTCACGCGCACGCTGACATCGTCATTAACATGGGCGGACGTGGGGGTATAATTTGGCATGGATCCTCAGCATCCAGCGTCCATTAAGATGTTGCAAGAGTCATTTGTACAGATGCACGGCCGCTGGGGGCAAATACCGCAAGGTGAGGAGGAATATGTTACATAGAGTTTACTGGTACATTTCCAAACAACTATAAGAAAATGATGATAACTTTAAGTAAAAGTACCAAACAGAAGGATTTTGCAGTCAACTTTAGGATTACAAGCATATAAAATTGGTTTGTAACTACAGTGCTTAAGTTGCATTTAAAAAACATTTTAGCATCGAGTAATCACCGAGAACACAGCAAAGCTGTCCTGTAATTCTTTATTAATCCTCCAATGGAATGCTAAGGCTAAGTATAATGTGATGTATAATGTACTAAACTCTTTTTTTTATTCCCAAAGAATGCAAATATTTATGTCCATTGCAGAAGTGCTCCTTTGACGCTCAAACCACACATTATCGAAGTTGAAATAAACTATAACTTCACATTATATAATAATTACCAGCCACACTGGGCTGGCACAATAAATGTAGATGGAAAAATACATGTTGGAGACAAAAATAAACTGATCTGTGACAATAACTGCATTGATCTTTACATCATTTTGATATATAGCTGTAGGAAGCAAGTATAGAAAATCTAGCGGGAGAGCATGAGAGGGGTAGTTAAGTGGATCTAGATCTTAACAGACTGCTTTAAAATGTCTATGGTATCCGAAGAGTTGTTATACAGTATATAGCCCAGTGTTTAAATAACATTTGTTTAATTGACCACTGCTGACACAATAGGTTGGAAATCTTGAAGACATATTTTACAAGACAACAATACACAATGCATCACTAGAGGAGAAAAACAAATTTACTTGTTTCAAATTATTTGGCCCATGTAAATGGGAAATTACACATTCAAGAGTTCACCAGAGAAACACTTTGTTTTCTACCTTTTGTTCTGCTTGCTGGATTATGAATGCAAACTTTATTGAAATAATTTTAACTTGTAACACAAATTACATGGACATTTTTCTTGCAAAATAAGTACTTTGACTTGCAGAGCAATAACTTGCACCCTTATGAGATGATTATTTTTCAAAATCTAAAATGAAAATGTTAAAAGCGAAAAAAGACTTTCCAGGATTTTTTGTTGGGACAAAAGAGGTTTGAACCTTAGCTGGAAGCTCAATCATACAGAAAAGTCATTGAATATTTAGAACAGTTATTAATGTAATTACATTTTGGCAGCCACTGGGTCTTAGCTGCAAGCATTATGAATACAGGACCAAGAGAAAGACTGGCCATAGGTATGTACGGTTTATTAGAACATGGGCAGCAGGACTGGAGAACATGTGAATATTGCATTATTATATTGATAATAAAACTTGCAATTGTGATGCGCTTATATATAATTTACAGGCTTTTATTTCCTTAACGTCCAGCTGATCTGGATCCACCAATGAAATCCATCTTAGGGAAAGAATACCTTTTGCCTCAGTCTTTCTCAAAAATTTCAGAAGTGACGTATCGTAGAAGTAACAGTTATGTTTTGACACAGTTGGTATATTTATTTTATGAACAAAAATGTCTATTCCTGACAGGATTTCTCTGCTAGCATAGCACAACTCACTTCAATCTTGGCAAATTTTTATTGTAACAGGAAAATGTTAATAAAACAATGAACAATGAAGTTGTGTAATCGATCTTCAATTGGAAGACTCGATTACACAACTTCCATCAAGAATGAAATAAATAAACAGACTCATAACAATAATAAATTCTAATACATTAACAACATTCATATATAGTTATTTTTATTGTATTTATTATTTTTCTAAGTCTTATTCCTGCTTATGCTCAACATAGACCTCTCTTTCTTTAGTCATTGTTGTCCGTTTTATTTCCCACGTATAAGCTAAAGAGACTAATATTTTCTGTGTTCTGGTATCTATCTGGTGGTTCTCTAATTCTAGTAGATTGCCTTCTGACAAGGACTTCATTATTTGGCTTTTATTTAATTTGTCTCAGGCTGCCTCTAGACTAGTGGCTCCCAACCCAGTCCTAAAGTACTCCCCAACTGTCCAGGATTTAGGGATTACCCAGTTGTGTCTATGGTGTTTTTAGAAAGAAGAAGAAAAAAAAATGTTAGATCCAACATTGCAAACCCTAAATCCTGGACTGTTAGTGGGTACTAGAGGACTGGGTTTGGAACCCCTGCTCTAGATGATCATTATCAGGACTTGTTACTTTAGGCTGTGAATTGCATGGATCATACCATACTCCATACCAAATGTCTTCATGTTGTACACATTAAGTTTCAACCATCACTTTATGTTGTGGTGTATTTTTATTTGAGCAACATGTCTTCTTGCTGTTAGTCCATTCTCCAGTGTCACAGAATTCATTCCTATGCCCAGTACCGTATTTTTCGCTCCATAAGACGCACTTTTTTTCCCCTCAAAAGTGAGGGGAAATGTCTGTGCGTCTTATGGAGCGAATGTGAAGATTTACTTACCTGTCTTGGAGCATGGGCCGGCTTCACAGCGCGCTCCGCGGTCCAGGAACTTCTATTTCAGGTTCCGGTTTCCGGCGGGACTGAAAGGAAGTGCACACTCAGTGTGCACACTTCCTTTCAGTCCCGCCGGAAACCGGAACCTGAAATAGAAGTTCCTGGACCGCGGAGCGCGCTGTGAAGCCGGCCCACGCTCCAAGACAGGTAAGTAATTATGGGACAAGGGAGGGGAGACACTATGGGAGAAAGGGAGGGGGAGACACTATGGAAAGGGGAGGGGGAGACACTATGGGAGAAGGGGAGGGGGAGACACTATGAGAAAGGGGAGGGGGAGACACTATGGGAGAAGGGGAGGGGGAACACTATGGGAGAAGGGGAGGGGGAGACACTATGGGACAAGGGGAGGGGGAGACACTATGGGACAATGGCAGGGGGAGACACTATGGGACAATGGCAGGGGGAGACACTATGGGACTATGGCAGGGGGGGACACTATGGGAGGGTGCACTATGGGACAATGGGAGGGGGGGGGACACTATGGGAGGGAAAGTGCACTATGGGACAATGGGAGGGGGGGACACTATGGGATCAGAACACTAATGGACAAGGGGAGGAGGGGTTAAAGAACACTATGGGACAGGGTAGGAGGGGTTAACAATCACTACGGGACAGAGGAAAGGGGGGTTAAAGATCATTATGGGACAGGGGAGAAAAAAAAATATTCTGAACAAACTGTCCCATAGTAAGAAACACTATGGAACAGTTTGTTCAGAATATTATTTTTTTCTGGGTTTCCTCCTCTAAAAACTAGGTGCGTCTTATGGTGAGGTGCGTCTTATGGAGCGAAAAATACGGTAATTCAGAGACAGTTGCTGGTACCCATTTAGTTAACCGTGAATTAAAATTTTTCACTTAAACCCGATCTCCAATTTGAAAAATATGAAAAGATCTTAATATTAATATTTATTGTAACAGGAAAAATTTTCCTATAGCAACATCCTGTCATTTATTTAGGTTTTTGTAACTTGCTATTTTTCGTTTATTACAGGACAGTTTCATGGCTGTTTCTGTTACCTCAGACTCACATCCCCCTGTGGGGGAGGGAGGGGCTTCCACAACCAACAGCATCATGTGATCTCTCTCACATAACAGCTTCATTACAGCAACTTTAAATATTGAATAGTACTTTGAACATAGTATTACACTGTGTTGCTATGGAAACAATTCCTCCACATGGAAGGATGATAGAAAAAAACATCAACACAATTGGGTTATTTGTACAGGGGACTTATAACCAGAGAGCTAGCTAGGGGACATATGTAAAGTCGACTTTTGGGTGCATGTATCACCCAATACTGTATAGCCAGTCTAAAAAAAAAAAAAAAAAAAAAAACCTTTCATTTATGGTTTTGGATCATTGATGCATTCATCTTCTGCCACTTAGTCAAAATGGGTTCTTCTGTGGTAAAACTCTGCAAGGGGAAAAGTCATATAGATTTCAAGTTTCTCTGATATCTTCTGTGCGATCTTCAAAACATTTTTTGGTGCTGACCGATTTTGTAAGTTTTATTAAAAAAACCTAATCTAGGCAAAAAACAATGGGGGTTTAGTTACATTATATGATCATACATTGCATAAGCCTGCCACAACCAGGGCCGGCCTTAGGCAATTAGGCGCCCTGTGCAAAAAGTCTTCACGGCGCCCCCCCCCACCTCCCACCAAGTTGCCTGAATACAGTAACACACACAGGCACCGGGGACGTGTGTATCACGAGGCAAACAAGGCATCTGCCTTGGGCGCCACTTTGCAGGGGGCGGCAAAAAAAAGCATCCCTCCAAACCCCCAGGCAGATCCCTTGCTTGCCTCGCATCCTGGGGGGCTCAAGAGCTGACCAGCTGGCCACTTTTGAGCCCCCCCAAGGCTGGCAGCGGGCAGCGAAGGAGCATACTCACCTGAGCTCTTCCTGCTCAGCTTCCTCTGCGCCGCTTAATGAAGCCGGGAGCCAGAATATGACGTCAGTCCGGCTCCCGGCATCACTAAGCGCTGCTTACTCAGCCTGTGCGCCCCCTGCCTGCCTGCCCAGCAGCCACACTGGACTGCTGGTAAGAAATCCACTCCAGCTTTCCCAGGGAGGCTGGGTGGATTTAAAATAAATGTAAAAAATATTAGTTTGTGAGTGTTAGTGGAAATGTCTGTGTGTGTGTCTGTGAGTGTTTATTTTGAAGTGAATGTGTGTGTGTGTGTGTGTGTCTGTAAGTGTGTAATTGTGTGTGTCTGTAAGTGAATGTGTGTGTCTGTGAGTGAATGTGTGTGTTGGTCAGTGAGTGTATATGTGTCAGTCAGTGAGTGTGTATGTGTCAGTCAGTGAGTGTGTATGTGTCGTCAGTGAGTGTGTATGTGTCGTCAGTGAGTGTGCGTCTGTCAGTGAGTGAGCGTCTGTCAGTCAAAGTGCGGCCTTGACAGGAAGGGGTGGGGGAAATTTAAACTCGGTTACAGGCATGTACACACACACTCAGTTAAAGGCAGTCACACATACAGGCACAGGCACAAACAATGGCACAGCTACAGCGACACACACAGACAGACAGTCACATAGGCAGTCACACACACAGACAGACACACAGTAACACACACATAGACAGTTATACACACACAGGCAGGCAGTCACACAGATAGAAAGTCACACACACAGGCATGCAGTCACACACAGACAGATAGTTACAGGACCTTGATACAGAAGGTCTGGAACTTTTGGAAGCTGAAATGGAGGCTCCACGCGAAGGCTTTGTAGGAGAGGGAACCAGGGTCTCTGAGGCCAAAAGGGAGCTATCGGGATGAGAGACACCTTTCTATTCTCATTCTTCTCAGGATGGTAAAAATCAGTGGAAAGGGAGGAAACGCATATCCCTTGGTGAATTGCCAAGGGCTGGATAGAACATCCCTCCTAGAGGGTCGTTGTCCCTCGTAAAGTATTCAGCCCCCTTCCTGTTGTCCCGAGTAGCCAGCAGATCCACTTGAGGTAGACCCCATTTTGTCACTATTGTTTGGCAGGTGAATTGCTGAGAGGCCAGCCAGGTTTCTTTGTGCTCATAACATTAGGCGTTTCATAATTTCCATAATTTTGCAGCTCCTGGTTCCACCCTGATGGTTGATATAGGACACTACTGTTATATTGTCCGTCCTTATCTTCACCCATTGTTGATGGAGTTGTGAGGAAAAGTGTCTCAGAGCCTTGAAAACCACCAAGAGTTCCAGCAGATTGGAATGTATGTTGCTTGATGGGAATTCCCATTCATCTTGTGCAAAGTTGTGAAGACAATGGGCACCCCAACCCCATTGGCTGGCATCTGTCGTCACCACTACCCACGAGATTTCCCCCAGAGGGAAGCCTTTGCTTAGGCACTTCTTGTGTAGCCACCAAATCAGGGAATTGTGTACCAATAGTGAAATCTTGATGTGTTGGAGTAGATTTTTTATAGAAAATTGTAGCAGGAGATTCGCTTGGAATGATCTCATGCTCCACTGTGCCCACCTGCTCAGCCCTATTGTGGAAGACATGGATCTGAGCAGACTCATCGCCTTCTTTGCTGAGGCAACTCTGGATGCCAATATTTCCCTTATCTGTTTCCTGAGTTTCAGAATTCTTTTCAGGGAGAGCTGAATGGTACCTATCGACGTGTTGAAGTGAGCTCCCAGGTATGTCATAGACTGACTCGGACAGAGATGGCTCTTCTTGACGTTGATCTTCTAGCCGTGATGTTGTAAGAAACAAAGGCTGATGATGGGATGAGAGGATAATATCTCTTTGTCATCTCCCACAATCAGGATGTTATCCAGATAATGGAATATGGAAATATCCTGCTTTCTTAGTTCCGCAATGAGAACCTCTAGCACTTCGTGAAAGTCCTCGGGGCTATGCTGAGTCCGAAGGGTAGAGCTCTGAATTGAACATGGCCCTCTTCTACAGCGAATCTCAGGTACTTCTGATGTGTCTGCGAAATGGGAACATGGAAATAGGCATTCAACAGATCTATCGACAACATCCATTGGTTGGGTAAAACTGCTTTGATGATAGATTACAAGGATTCCATCTTGAATCTGCGGATGTGCAAGTGTTGGATCAGTTTGTGTAGATCTAGAATGGGTCTCCAGCCTCCTGAGGAGTTTTTGGTTTGGAAGATGTGCGAGTAGAAACCATGAGTTCTTTCGCATGCTGGAACCCTTACAATAACTCCTTCTGCTTGTAATGAGGAGATGAAGTTTTGAAGGGCGACTCTTTTCTCCATGTCTCCTGGGCTTTTCGTAACTTGGAGAGATCTGAAGGGGGGCTTCTTGTAAAATTCCAGGAAATATCCTCTCCGGATGATATCTATAACCCAATTGTCGCTTGTGGATTCTTCCCATGCCATTTGGAACTGAATTAAACGGGCTTCGACTCCTCCTGACTGGGAGATAATACCATCATAAATTCTTGATGTAGAAAGGCTTTATTACCTTCAGCTGCTCTTTTGATGCATTCAGTTTTTCTGCCGAATAACATACCCCCAAGGAACATAAACTTGATCTGAGAAACACTACTCGCCTGGCAAAGATCGAAAAGGCCATATTTCTTGCGAGGTTCCTCACCAGGTCCACTGCAGCCTCAGATGAGAAATCAATAGCCAGTTTCATATCTCTCAAGCTATCCAATATGGAGGGCCGGCTCCTGCCCTTCTTAATATCCTCCTCCAATTCTTGCATCCATACTTTCAATGCTCTGGTCACTGACGTGAGAGCTACTGCAGGATGCAGGCCAGTACCAGAAACCATGTATGATCTAGAAAGGTTGTACTCCATCTTTCTGTCCATCGGATCATTAAAGGATCCCACATCATCTACTGACAAGGTGGTACGTTTAGCCAGTCTAACTACTGCTGTATCAACATTGGGGGCAAAGGCCCGTACTTCAGCGTCCCTGGTTTCAAATGGATAGAGTCTAGTAAATTTTCCATTAGCAGAGGATCTCCTGTCCGATCTGGACCATTCTCTTTAATAAGATCACTTATTGTCTCATGAACCGTAAAAGTAGCTCTTTTTCTCCTGAGATCAGAGAAATGGAGACTTGAGGTGGAAGGTTCCTCCTAAGAAGATTCCTTTAAGGTAAGGCTCTTCCGAACCTTGGCTATCAAATTATCCACTTCCGATGGTTCCATAAAGTCTGGATCTGGCAGCATATCCTCCTCCGAGGAAGAAGCCAGGTCTCTCAGGGAAGCTGTCTCCATACAGGGCCGGCCTTAGGCCTTAAACCTGTGCGAAAAATCTTCACAGTCCCCCCTCCCCCCACATCATCCATGTATGATGTAATGTTTGTGTTGTCTGTGTATGTGATAGGTGTGATGACTGTGTGTGATATGTTTGCTATGTGTTGGCTGTGTGTGATATTTGTAATGGGTGTATTAACAGTGTGTGATATGCGTGTATTGGTTGTATGTGATATTTGTGCTGGGTTAATTGGCTGTGTGTGATGGTTATTTAATTTAGATAAAAACATGCATTTAGGCCTGTGTGTGAATGCAGGTGTATATTTTTGCAGAGTTATGTGCACACAGTCAGATGCACACAGTTATACATATACACTGTCAAATCCAGCACATGCACACAGTCACAGGAAGATAATCACATACACAGGATCAGGCAGAAACACACAGGTATAGGCAGTAACACACATACACAGTTACAGGTAGATAAACACACTCACACACAATTGGAGGCAGACATCCACACACACACACAGGTAGCCACACATACAGTTTTACACACACACACACACACAGCCACACATACAGTCTTACACACACATACTTACATGCAGACAGCCACACACACACACACACAGGCAGACCGCCACACACACACACACACACACACACACACACACAGACAGCCACACACACAGTCAGACGGCCATACACACACAGGAAGACATGCACACACACTCACACTGACAATCACACAGTTACCTCTGTTCATTGTGGAGGCAGTGCAGCTCCTGGAGACTATTTGGTAAGAAAGCAGGGACTCCTTCCTGCTTCCCCTGCAGCAGTTATCCGGCACTTTTAGCACCGCCTCCACCGCACAGGAAGCTCCGTCCTGCCGCACAGTAAGCTCCGCCCCACAGCAATTTTTTTTTTAATTTTTAATGCCAGCCGCCGCCCTGTCTCCATATACTCCTCTAAAGAGTCCATTGGAGAATAATCGGGTCATTTGTGAGCTTTCCCAGCCTCCTTGATGCCCTGAGCGACAGCATGTTTAATGTATTGCATAATGCCAGGCGTGGGCTGAGATGGGCCTGCAGCTACTGAGCTTGAACAGAGACGTTTTCCCTCCAGGGCTCTGTCACAGGATACACATAGCGTCCTTTTTTTTTTACTTCCCTTTGGATGATCCTGAAGTTCTGGTACCTTTGGAACAGCATAAAAATGCATATCAGTACTCTGCACTCTTTTATTTAAACATTTAAACATTATATAACAGAAGAATCGATGAAGATGGCTTACCTATACTGCTTAGATTGTGACCTATTGTGTTGAGAAGGGAATTCCAAATTCCTGCAGCTTGTATGCGCTTCCATCAAAAAAAATTTTTTTTTAAATTTCAAATTGAAACGCCAGAAGAAAATGTTAAAAAAAGAAGATATATATATATTACTCACATATATATATAATATATATAATAACTATATATTGGGTGTATATATATATATATTATTATAAATAATAATTAATTAAAATTAAATTAAAAAATGCAAATTTTTTTCAAATTATATATATATATATATATATGTAATTTTATTCTAACTGTATTTTGATATTTATATATATATATGTATATATATATATATATATATATAAAAATACACTTAAAATGAAATTATATATATCTATGTATCCCCTTAATGACCGTGGACGTACTAAGTATGTCCGACAAAAAACGGTCGTTAAGGACCGTGGATGTACCTAGTAATCCGTGGCAAATAGGAGCCCTGGACTTACCTGGACCGGCGATTCGCGGCGATCACGGTTGGGGGGACTAGGTAGGAAGAGAACCCAGTTGGTAAGTGAGGAGTTTCTGTATTATATATGTATAATATATTATAAAATAATGAAAGCATTTTATAATATATTATACATATATAATGCATATATATGATTTCATTATAAGTGTACTTTGAGATATATACACATATATCTCAAAATACACTTATAATGAAATCATATATATGCATTATATATGTACAATATATTATAAAATGCTTTCATTATAATATATTATACATATATAGGAAATAAAAGTGTGTGTGTGTGTATTTATATATAGATACACACACGTGTTTTTTATAAAAACAAATAAAAACGCTAACTTTGGCCTGCGTTTGTGACTAAGTGGCTACTACAAAAGACTGCACATACTCCATTTGGAATTCCCTGGGTTGTCTACATTTGAAAATGGTATGCCATGATGGGGTTATTTCACATTCCTGGGCTACCATATGGTCTCAAAAGGCAAAAGACCCAGCAAACCAATCTGGCAAACGGAATTCGGCAAGCACTATATTGACCCTGTAACTTTGCAAAACACCATAAACCCTGTACATTGGGGATATTGTTATACTCAGGAGACTTTGCTGTACACAAATATGAGTGTTTAAAACAGTAAAACTTATCACAAAGATGAAATCAACAGTAAAAGTGCAGTTTTTGTGTAACATAATGCAAAAAACTAATAAAAACGATAAGTTTGGCCAGCGTTTGTGACTAAGTGGCTACTACAAAAGACTGGACATACCCCATTTTGAATACCCTGGGTTGTCTACTTTTACAAATGGTATGCCACGATGGGGTTAATTTTCATTGCTGGGCTGCTATGCGGTCTCAAATGCAACCTAGGCCCAGCAAACCAATCTGGCAAATTTCAATGTGCAAGCATGGAAAAGGGGAAAGCCCTACATTTGACCTCTGTAAGTTTGCAAAAACCCATAAAACCTTTACATTGGTGGCACTGTTGTACTCGGCAGATGTTGTTGAACATATATTGGGGTGTGCTTTGTCAGTAATACATAACAGGAACTGAGAATCTATGCCTAAAGTACAATGTGAGAGAAAAATGACACAAAAAAATGACTACCCAAAGGTTTGACAAAAAATAGGGGAAGAATTAGTGCATGGAAAGTGTTAAAATTACATTGGTCGGCTTTAAAAATGCCCCAAATACGACATGGGTGCATGATGACCAGCTGTGAAACTTCCAAGTTGGAAAACTGGAATGCACACCCTCCAAGTAAGGTTTTTTATCCCCCAGAGAACCTGACACACCCTATACATGGGGGTATTACTGTACTCAGAAGATGTTGTTGAACACATATTGGGGTGTTCTTTCACAGTAGCCTTTAAAGTTCTCCGTACATGTATGTTTAAATTGCTATGTGTGTCAAAAAAATCACCAATTATGATTTTTTTTTTAAATTTGGCATAGATTGGTGGTAAAATGGTTGCATGAAAAGAGTCAAAATACCCCAAGTTTAATACCTTAGGTTGTCTTCTTTTAAAAAATATATACATGTGAAGGGTTATCTAGGGATTCCTGACAGATATCAGTGTTACAATGTAACTTTTAATTTTGAAAAAAAAAATGGTTTGTAAATAGCAAAGTGCTACTTGTACTTATTGCCCTATAACTTTCCCAAAAAAATCTATGAAGATGTTAATATTGCATTGCTAAACTCAGGACAAAATTTAGAAATTATTTAGCACGGGTGATTTTTGATGGTTGTAGATGTGTAACAGATTTTGGGGGTCAAAGTTAGAAAAAGTGTGCTTACATTTTTTCACCATATTTTATAAAAATTTTCAAAACATTTCCCAGTGATTAGTTTCTGATTTGATCTTTTTTGATTTTTAACTTGAGTCTTCTATTGAGTTCAAGCCAGTATGGAATGCTCTCTCATGAACTGGTGTATTCTCATGACAAATGAAAATCCAGAGGCTCAGGGTAAAAGCATACCCGAGATATCGGGCTTCTATTTTCACAATCAAGTAGGCCCAAGATGGCCGACCTGTTGCCTGACTCATGTCATGGTTCCACATCAGTGTCTAAGGATGAAGCAGGGCATCCTACAGAGCTCCGGCCACAGCCTCGAGGCAGCAAAGCCCTGTTTAAACGGCATCCTGAACCTCAGTGGGCTACTAAATCTAACATCACAATGATGACTACCGACCTCAAAGCCTTCTTTTCCTCTGAAATGGTGGTGCTAAAAGCGAACCTGAACACGCTGTCTTGCAGAATAAAAGCCACAGAATCCAGAGCCTGGGCATTCAGCAGAACACCGATGCAAATCGGCTCCACGAGGTCTTGAACGCTTACACAGCGCTCAGTGTTAAGGTGGGACAGCTTGAAGACATTACATGCCAATGCAATCTTAAAATCAGGAGGATCCCTGACATTATTGACAATGGCGAGTTGCCACAATTCATCAGACGGCTAATGTCAGCCACCCTACCACCCAAGCAGGGCAAGAACATACTACTGAAAGGAATTTACCACCTGCCAGGGAACTCCAACAATAAAACCTTTGTCCCTAGGGATGTAATTCTGAGCTTCAGGTATTGGTCTAACAAAGAGACTTTTCTGGCCACAACAAAAGGCCAATCACCTTTTATATTCGAACAACATGAACTCAGCTTCTTCCAAGACCTCAGTAGATCGACGCTGCAATGGTGAGCATCCTTGAAAGAAGTGAGAAAAGCAGGGATCCCATATAGATGGGGGTCACCAAGGGTGCACACGGCAGAACAGAATGGGCAACGCTTCAAGTTAACTTCTGTGTCCCAGGTGGACTTTTTTCTACAGTCTCTGGGACTTACAATGACCACTGCCTCAAAGAGCAGCAAGTCTACTCAAGTCTACTCATCGCTGGGACGTGGATAATGTGGCGATCTTCACACCTGCTGGTTCTATGGCTCCAGGATGAGGCAACAACGGGGACATACCAGTACCCATTCACCTGCGTTTCATACCTCAGTGTTATAAATGTTTCCAGTTCAAGTTGTTTTATTTTCTTTAATTTGAGTTTTAAACTGCTACACTGCTCAATTACTTATAAGCCCTCTAGGGGTCACCTGAATGCTCTGAGCTTCTTAGCTTAAATACATGTGGCTATCAACACGACTTATCCGCCATTCACTCCCTCACCCCCACCCCCAGGCTCCAGAGTTATGGAGCTTACTAATACGACCCGTATGTTGGATCACCTAGCTATCGACACTGCAGCTATTAGTACACCTAGCTTAGGTCACTTAAGCTTCAAATGCAAATACTTACTATATATATTTTACTTGTTACCTAAATAGGAGACTATCACTGTATTTCATTGTCTTGTTTTCTTGTATTGAAAAATAAAAAGTGCAATTTTTTCATGTATTACAATACGACATACATTGTTTATCTTATC